CTCTAATAACAAGTTTGTAGGTGCTCATTTCCACCCAGAGGTACATTTAAACATCACAAGCATTTCTTAGTTCTAAGTCTTTCAAGCACCGTCTTCTGTGCTTCCCCTTTAAGTAGTCGTTGAGTGCGCCAATACATAATTTTCTTTTTTGCGTTAGTGAGCAAAACCTCATCTTCCAATCTCACTGGTGGAGTGCCTTTTAGGGCTGCATATTGGTGCGTTAAACAAGTATTGGTTAAGTACGGAGTTGTGCGTTTGGAACGAAGCAGTTTGTAGACGGTTGGATATTTCACCACGCATAATTTATCACTGTCCCTTGGGCAGCTGATTTTAAGCCCTTGCTTTTCCAAATGTAAACTATGTTAGCTGTTAGTACTGCTTCAAACTTGTATGACCTATTACAGAGTCATTATTGACTTAAGACACCACACTGATTCTGCATTATATACCTCAGGAGAAGTCTAGAAGTTAAGGATTATAATTATTTTCATTTTACGCAGTAAAATTGGCAAAAACAGTGCAATTGTTTCATAAAATCCACTTATTGGCCGTTTGGCTAAGAAAAATCAAATTGTCATTAATTTTGACCTGCCAGTACCTGTTCCTTTTTACTAGAATTTAGTAATAATGCGACATTTTCAAATGTTTGATATTAAGAGTTTTTAGTTTTTTAATTTAGAACATTTGTCTTGTTTGAATTTATCAGGAATAGTACGCTCTGCATCTCTAGCTTTTCGGCGGCTCACTTGGATTTGTATGTGCGCGCCTGAATTGATTGCGGTCGCGGTTTTGCTCGTACTTGGTGCTGGCGTTTGTGGTAGTTGGAATTCCTGCTTATTTTATCAGAAGGTTATTTTGATTAATAGTTGAATTAGAATTCGTTCTGCTCATGTTAAATCAAGTTCTGACTTGTAAGTAGCATGTCGTTATTTTGAGCTAACGTGTGTATACGGCGTCCTTGTTATATTAATCTATTTTTAACTTGTGCTTACTTAGTAGGGTTAACAAGTCAAAATATAGTCAAGTCAAACTTTTGATAGCTAGGTCCCTGATGCAGGTGGTGCGTGTGTTGTAATCATCGAGTGTATGCGCAATTGTTAGCTGAACGGATTGCAGAAAATTTTAGCCCCAGCACGATCAACTCCTTCATGTGCTTGTAGTCCTCTACATAAACTTGACTTTTTAGTAGGTATAAGAGTTGCCTCTAAGTGATATTTATCTACGAGACAGGCTTGCCAGAACCACAGACAAAGCAATATTTAAATATTTACTGGTGAAATATTTGGATTGAAGTCTACGGAACTAATGCATAGGATATGCCGTTTGACGTTGCAAACATCCACAGGAAGACAAGAAAAAGCCGACAATGAATTAATTATGTTTAACCGTACGAGTATC